TACCAAGCATGATGGTCATTTCCAGGGACTGATCCCTTCTGATAACATGTCCAAATATGTGAGATGAATTCTTGCCTTGCTAGCTTAGCTTCTAAGGGTTCTTCTGTCTGCACTTCCCCCAAGACATATTTATTTGTTCTTCTAGAAATCCATGGTACTTTTAATATTCTTAGCCAACATCATAATTGAATTGCATCAAGTGAAAGAATAGATTCAAAAGTATGTGACAGGAATATTTCATGAAGCTTATGTTTCAATCTTATATATACTTGTGAATGTGTGCTGATTTTAATGTAAGTTACTTCTTACTGTGAGTTATGGTGTTAAAATGTTTGCAATATAAGAAAATTTCTGAACCAAGACAAGAATGGATCATCTTATTATTCACATTTTAAAGAAAAAAAATTTTTCATTTTCTACCTCTGAGAAATATCCAGCTAAAGGCTTGAGCCCTTTGTCTCCATAATTGCAGTAGCATGGAAAAGCCAAGGCTCACATGAGCATTTAAAAAAAAAAAAAAACACTGCTTTTGAGTTGATTCTGACTCATAGTGACCCTATAGCAGAGTAGAATTGCCCCCCTAGGGTTTCCAAGGCTGTGAATCTAAACTGAAGTCGACTGGTTCATCGTTCTCCTTCAGAGCAACTGGTAAGTTGAGTTCAAACTGCTGAACTTTTGGGTTGGCAGTCCAATGCTTATCCCACTGTGCCACCAGGTCTCCTCAGATAAACCTGGTTAATGAAAATGAGGAGCACACTATTTTTGCATACCTGCCTGGAATTCCCTAACCTTGATGGGATCGTTTCTGTTGCACAGTGAATTGTAGCTCTTCTACCAGTCTTTGTAACTCCCACCAAATAATCGGTGGGACCATGCAAATAGGGTGTAAGAGACTCTAACATGGGGACTGGCCAGTTTTGTCACTCTGCTAGGTTTAAAATGAGCCATCTCAGAAGCAGGAACAGAAGATTGCAAGACCATCAAGAAAGGAGAGTCACAAGCAGAGCACATCTTTTCAACCCTGAGATCCTTGAGTCGGGAAATAGCAGCAGCAGAGGCCACAGCATGGAAAGGTGCACAGAATGAGTAAAGCTGAGTGTCTCTGGCTTGCAGAATTGTGTGCCCGCTAGGCATTTACTAGTAGCGCTAAAGGAGCTGGTAACACCTGGCCAAGCAGGGCAGAGGCCAAAGGACCACATGACTCCGAGGCCAAGGACAAAAGACTTGATGACTGCGAAGAGGTGTTCCTAACCAGAGAACTGCTGTGTCCTGAGTTGTTTCTGATCTTGAATTGAACCCTGTTTACTTCCTTAATAAACCCTCTAACTATGAGTCTTTGAGTTCTGTGTGGTCATTGCAATGGATTCAGAATAGGATAAAAGAGGGTGGAGGCAGCCTCAGAGGCGACATGGCCTTAGGCTAATATGGAGTTTGAGTCACAGTTTTCCTTGTGGAATCAGAGATCAGACATGGCCCCCACAGTTTTTGCACCCTCCCATTATCTCAGAGGTAAGAGGAGATCATTTTGAAGCCCTGAGTCAAGAAAATCAGTAATAACAGCATTGACTTTGAAAGTTGGGTCGCCCAGGTCTGACTCAGGTCCACCACTTACTAATGGTGTGAATGCAGGGCAAGTTTTCATCTCTCTCAGTCTGTGGCTCTCAAACATTTTGGTCTCAAGATCTCTTTACACTAAAAATAAGTAGTGAAGACTGTAATCATGTTTATGTGGATTGTATCTATAATAATAGTGTCAGAAATTACAACAGAAAAGTTTAAAAATATTCATTAACCCATGAAAAATAAAAACTATTACAAGTTAAGAATTTTTTTCATGAAAAATAATTATTTTCCAAAAGAATCATCTGGTGACAAGAGTACTATTGTTTTACGTTTTTGCAAATGTCTATCTTATGTGGCTTAGTAGAACATAGCTGGATTCCCAATCTGTTTCTGCACACTGGATTCTTATACCGTTTACGAGTGAAATCCAGCCTCACGTGGATATGTAGTTGAGAAAGAAGGGAGCGTTTTATTATTTATATATTTCTAGATATTATTCTTTGATGCTGTACCAAAACTCAGTAAGACAAGTTTCTTGCAAAGGCTAATTGCAACATGATATCTTAATGCCATAGCAATGAACTTTCCATAGTGTGATACACTAAAATCCATTTGTCTTTGAATATTGTCCTTTGAATTGATCTTTTACCCATGGATGATTTTGTAGCATCATCCATTGGTCATTTAGAAAACATTACTACAATGATCTTCCAAATGTTAAATTCATTATACAACTTTAAAAGCAATTATTCACTAATGGCTCCACCAATCTCATCAGAAAAGTCCTAGGAAACTGTCAAGCTCATGGTGGTGGATACAAGTTTTCCAAACTTCTCATTTTCAGTTGCAAGCCAAAATGTTATCCTTGGCAACAAAAGTTTATCTTGAAATGATAGGCTCACTCAGTTCATTTTCAAAAAATCCAAATACTCAAGTCTGAAAAACCCCAGTTTGTCTGTCATCCTTTAGTGTTTCATGAAATAAGCTGCTAGTTCAGCACAAACTCAAGTGCGTTTCCTCAAGACACTCATCACAACTTCAGTATGCAGCAAAACGACACCAAAGATATGCTTTCTGCATAGTTCCCAGAAAGCTTCAATGTGCAGAATGTTTCTGAAAGTATACCACCAGGTGCCACTGCCTTAATTCATACCAAGATGCAGGCAGTTATACTCACCATTGCTTTTGCACCAAAATGTCAACATGGTGACATTGTAGTCCCTGTTTCGTGTTATGAAGAAAAGATTTTGAACCTGAAATCACCTCAGAAACATTGGAAGTCTGCAGATCACACCTTTGGAACTGATAACCTTAAGCCTCTGGTGTGCTAATAACACCTCCCTTATTGGGTTGTTTGGGGGAGTGAAAGAGTAAAGGGCAAGGAACAGTTCCTAAATAAATACATGTAAGAGCTAAATAAATGTTAAATACTATTATTGTGGTTCCTCTAACTGTAAAGGTGTGGGCAGGGGAGGAAGGCCAGAGGGAAGAGAAGGAAACAATTTAACACCTTTCACATGCCATTCACTATTCTAGGTATTTTATCAGTCATTACAATGAAGCCACAAAACAACCCCGAGAGGAAGTAAATACTGCATTTTACAGAAAAGGAAATGGGCTGAGAGAGATTAGGCCTTTTCCTGGAGGCAGGAGCTTTAAAGAAAAGAGCAGAACTCTCAGTCACCTGATTTCCATTCACCGGACACAGGAGTAGTACTGCAGGATGTGTCTTGGGACCAGATGTTGACCAGGAGGGAAATCTACACTCCATCTCAAGTGTAGGACTAGCAGAACTGCCTAGAATCAAGAACTGCATCTCTGGGGTTTCATCAGTTCCCCTGTTGTTGGTGAGTGCCGTTGAGTCTGTTTCCAACTCATAGAGGCCCTGTATAGGGTTTCCAAGGAGTGATTGGTGGGTTTGAACCACCAACCTTGTGGTTAGCTGTCCAATACTTATCCTACAGCCCCACAACTGGATTCTCATCTCTTCTCCAAAGAAGTGGCATTTTTAATAACCTGCTCTTCTCACTTCTTCCTAACAGAAAGAAGGACTGTTCTCTTTTGGAAAATACCTGAGGACAGAAATAATGGAATTGAAAAATTAACTTAAGCGTCCTGATGCCCCAGAGCCAATGTAGATGTGTGGCCATACATCCCTGTCTTTGCACAGGGACACAGCTAGAGGCTCTCAGCTGACCTACACAACGGTCACTAATCCATAAAAGGCTTGAAGCTAGGAAGTTTTAGTAATTATTATACCTAACAAACCATAATTTACATATCCAAAGGGGTATTTTCCTTTACAAAGCAGTCCTCTTGCAGGGTCTACATTATTGATTTTAACCCTGCTCAAAACTGTGTCTTCTAAAAAAATAGTTTCACGTTTTAAAAACAGTCATCTTGCTGCCAGCATGCCTAATCTCTAAACAAAGCAAGACGCAGAAGTTTTAAAGTGTTAAAATACAGAATTTTAAAGTAAGTTTACACACATTCAAAGTGAACAACTAAAGTCCACTGATGAGCTCGGTTCCACAGAATCAGTCTGCAAGTGTATGTAATGCCCTACCCATCACTGGTAGTGTTGCAGCGCGAATCAGAAAGAACTCAACTCTGAAAACTGAAAGAACACAGTTATTGCCTGCGGCCAGAGTGTCAACTCAAGCCCAAATCAGTCTGACCCCAAAGTGAGGAGGGGAACAGGGTTTTATACAAGAAACACAGAGCGGTTAGAACACACAGACTTGTCTTGTCAGCTGGGGTAGTAAATTCCAGCAGACCCTTATCCTGTAAGTGGGAGTAAACTAACCAATAAACCCTTATGTTGGCTGTATGGATGGGCTAGGTTTTATCTTGTATGTTCAGGTGTCCTTGGGTCATTCTGGCCTTCAAGGTTTTTCTATAAGAAGTTTATTATTTTTCCATAGGGTGAGGTGGCGGGGAAGAGGGCAGCATGGTGAACTATGCTATCATATTTCAAATGGCAAATGGGGGCTGTTAGTTATACTATAATATTTTAAATGTGGGGTATCAGTTATAACAGTAGGACTCCTGGTATGGCACTGTAGGATCAGCATTGGTCCAGCACAAAGTCAGCAGTTCAAATCCCCAGCTGCTCCTTGGAAACTCTCTACAGGGTCAGAAGGAACTTGAAAGCACTTACCATCACTGGTAGAGCAGAGGCTGGGGGCTATACCAATTCCAGAGGGTTTCAGTCCTGTCCATTCTTAATGTAAATGGTCACCCAGCTAGGAACAGAGTCAAAGTCAAACCTAGCCCAAATTTAGCTTGGAAAAAAATTCTCCCTATATGACAATTATTGTCCCAAGGGATTCAGAACCCAGAATAGCGAGAAAGAAATGGAAACTACTGGCCCTCCTGCGCGTTGCTCTGGTTCAAAGCACATGCACATCATAGGGACAAGGACAGATTTAGTAAGGCTAAGGCAAGGCTTGGCCAACATGCTGTGAAGTGGGGAGAGCTGTTTCGTTTCTTCGGTGCCGTAGCCTAAGACAAGTGGTCTTTCCCCATAGAGAATCTGGAAAGAAGATGTAGGAGATGGACCACATCAGGCAGTAAAAAGGAGTCAGAGAGAACGGAGACAAAAACAGCATGATGACACCTAGAAGAAGAAAACATACAATTTGTGTGAAGCTTTCTTATGTGGGTTTTGTACCCTTGCAAATCCCATTGCCCCATGCTAATCCTTCCAGCTTCCTTTTTCACTCACAGAACTAAGACACAAACATAAATAAGACATAAGCCCTGTTTTAGGAAGCTCAGTTTAAAATTATTAAAGCACAGTTTAAAATGGTTAATCCAAAAGTTGGTGGTTCAAGTCTACCTAGAAGAAGCACCTTGGAAGAAAGGTCTGTAAATCTACTTCTGAAAATCAGCCATTGGAAACCTTATGAATACAATTCTACTCTGATGCCCCTAGGGTCCCCATAAGTGGGACTGAGCTTGATGGCAGCTGGTTGGTAAGTAACTAGGCAACTATCATGCAATCTCAGATTACTATTGAGTTGTCAAATTCAGACCAGAAATCAGTCCTAGCCAAGAATAAATTAGAATTGTCCCAATTCCTTATTAGGGAGAAAAAAAAATCTTTCTAGTTGTTTCAAGTTCCATGTGTGTTACTAGCCACAATAGTATCATTGTTACAGAAGAGAATTAGCATAAGCAGGCCTGACCACTACCTTTAAAAAGGTAAACAGGCCCCTACACTAATACAAAATCTTTCCTAACTGATGAGTGTGGTTCACTGTGCCTTCATTGTACAAAGTAGTCATGCAGGATGCCTGATTTCTCTCTGGGAGTCTGGAATTTTGGAACATGCTGTGCAGGGGTACCTACATGAGTTGTTAAATGTTGTCGAGTCGGTTCTGACTCACAGCCACCCCTGTATAGGGTTTCCAAGGACTGGCTGGTGGGTTTGAACCACCGACCTTGTGGTTAGCAGTTAAATGCTTATCCTATAGCGCCCCTCCAGGACTCAATAAAACTCTGGGGCACTGCGTCTATAATAAGCTCTCTGTGGTCAACACTTCCACGAATCATCACAGTTCAGTGCTGGAGGAATTGCTGAGCTCCTCCATCCGTCTGGCTCCATTGGGAGAAGACTGTGAAAGTTCACAGTTCAGTGCTGGAGGAATTGCTGAGCTCCTCCATCCGTCTGGCTCCATTGGGAGAAGACTGTGAAAGTTTACGTCTGGTTTCCTCAGAACTCTGTCCCAAGCACGTCTCTCTTTGCTGGTTTTGTTTTATATCTTTTTGCTGTAATAAATCTTAGCCAGGAAAACAACTATATGCTAAATCCTGTGAGGCCTGCTACCAAATCATCAAACCTGGGGGTAGTCTTGAGAACCGTGATACAATATAAACCTATATTCACCACCAAAAGGCAAAAGGGCACCACCATCTGTGGAAAGTTTTCTATGTGTGTGTGTGCTAGACATCCTGGTGTGACGCTGTAGGATAAGCACTGGATTGCTAGCCAAAAAGTCGGTGGTTCAAACCCACCAGCAGCTCCTTGGAAACCCTACGAGTCTGAGTGAAGTTGACAGCACTTAAAAACAAGAAGGCATGCTGCTAAGTATATTACACACATTATTTCATTCTATTTACAGTTCATGACACCTAGAATTAGCCATATGTTTACGTGACTTAGAATTATCTGTATGTTTCCCTCAAAGAGCTCAAGAAGAAGGCAGGAGAGCATGGACCCACCACATTTCCATGGAACATCTCATAATTTACAGCAAATATTTACTGAGCTACTACTATGTGATTGGCACAATTTTAGACACTGGGGATTATGTTGTTGTTGTTAAATGCCAATAAACAAGTTGGTGCCGACTCTTAGCGACCCTTTATAGGATTTCCAAGGAGTGGCTGGTGGTTTAAACTGCCGACCTGGTGCTTCATAGTCCAGTACTTATCCTACAGTGCCACACTAGGATTATACCATAAATGAGAGTCCCTGCCCTCATAGAGCTTACATTTCTGTGGGGGAGGTTGGTTTAGTGTTTATAGACAGTAAGAAGCTAGTAAATATATACATTTTTAGATAATGATAAAATTCTGTGAAGAAAAACCAAGCAGAGTAAGATAAGGAATGCTGGGTAAGGTACAAGGTGATGCCAAGTGGCTGTGATAATAAACCCGCCCCTGATGACATTTGAGAGCTGTCTTGTCACTCACCCCCCAGATAAACCATTTTCTTCCAGTTCTTTGACTCCAAGATTTCTTCATGGGGATAGTAGGTCTGGTCCATCATAAATAGAATCATGAGCGAGGCCACACAGCAAAGAATGAATGTGTTGCCTTTGGTCAGAAGGGAGGTGGAGGCCAAAACACAGGAAGCATAGGGGCAGGGTAGGCCCTTGTATATGAGGGGAACTCCTTCTGAGGAGAGAAAAGGTGAGGGTTAGCTGCTTCCCAGGGCTCAGCCCTCTGCATCCCCCCCAAAACCAAACTCATTGCCATCGACTCCATCTCATGGCAAACCCGTGAGTAGAATTAAGCTCCTTAGGGTTGAGGTTTCCTGCTCCCGAAAGGTTTCTTGCTCTTGCAAACACTACACAGGGTTGCTTATGAGTTGGAATCGACTAAACTGCAATTAGCAATTTTTAGAGAAGCAGATTGCCAGTCTTTTCTTCTGCAGCACTGCTGGATGGATTCAAACCACCAACCTTTTTATAAGCCAAACATAAACTATTTGTACCACCCAGGGTCTTTTCCACTGCCACAACATTATCTAAATAAAGCAAGCCCTTCTCTCTTTCAGTCCAAGAAGGAAAAGGAGTCCATTATTGCACCCCATTTTCTGGCACCCAACAGCTTCACCCAATCCATGGTTCCCAGCCCACAGCCCCAAGGCAGCCTGGCCTCTACTCACCAGTTGTAAAAAAGCACAGGCGGAAAGAAGTAGCTAACACATACATGATGGCCAGGAGGCCACTGAGAGGCCCGTCCACCCCTAGGAGCAGGGCTGAGGCCAGGCCAAAGGTGGTGAAGACAGCAAAGTCGTTCAGCTCAGCTCCTGTTCCAGAAGGCCCAAAGTTAGAAGAACATGCACTCACTCATGTGCCTTGTACCCTAGCCCCCTCTGGGTAGGGAGCTGGGCTGGTGAGGGGGACAAGCAGGGTCCTGAGGTACCCCAGGGTGATCTTAGACCAAAGACTAGGGTCTCCTCCTGGCTCTGATGCAACTGACCCTGTGTCTGCCTCTCCCATCCTAGTCTTCCCATTCCTTAGCATGAAAGGATTGGATTTAAATTAGATACTAACTGAAAAGCTAGGAAACCTTTTTATCAAGCAAAATCTTACATACAAACACTTTAACCCAGTTGCTCTCTTTGTGGTCAACTTGTCTTCTCCCCACCCCACTTGCCCTCCACCTCATCCCCAACACCAGCACTAGGGTCAGCCCTGAACAGGGAGGCAGGACAGATAAGGAAGCTGAAAGCTAGAACCAGCTGAGGACCGATTCAGACTGAGTGGAGGGGCTCCCTAGCTCCTGCTTTGGGGCTTGTCCTGCTGTACTTGGAGGGAAGTGACTGTAGTGGGTGACCGATGAAGACATGTTGGGTTTGGAGCTGGTGACCTGGGAAGGCTGCTCCAGGAGGTAGGCACTTGCCTGATCTGCAGCATATGCTGAGCTGCCTGGTCATCGTCCCAACTGCCATGTCTAATAAGAAGCTGATGAGAAGCAGCCAGGAGGCACAGTGGGATTTCCTAGAATGCAGGTCAGGCCAGAACAGGGCAGCCCTTTCATAGTCTCTGATGAACAACTACCCCATATCTTCCCAGTATGCTGACACACTTCTTACACACTTGCTCACATATGTTCATCCCTTCTGATACACACATACACACTGCTTTACTCCCATGCACATATTCCCTCACACATGCCTACATCCCTCCAATACTCTCAACCCATAGCCTTGAAGGGAGTCCTCTGAACCCCCTAGGAAATCACTAAGAACCCTTCCAGTTTTCAAGTCTAGCCCAGCCTCAGCCACCATGTTACTTGTGAATTCTCAGATAAATTGCTCTGCTCTCTAGGCCTCTGTTCCCCAAGTAAATGAAGGATGGGGATCCTCTAGACTCCACATTTGAAGCTTCTGTGTCTCTGGCCAGTACTTGTTCCCAGACTCCTCTGTGGTGGCTACTACAGTCCCAGGCAAATGCCAGGAGGCCTCTTCCCAAGTCAGTCCCCTGATGACCGTGTGGCCCAGCAGAAGCACACAGAAACACAGGAAGCCAGGGCCCACACCTTGTAGCCCTGCAGTGTTTCCTTTGTTTAGACCCAGGTTCTGGGTCTAAAGGGAACTGCGATTAAATAAACACACTGAACTCACATGGTGCGATGAAAACTACAGTCCTACAATAGACTAGACTAAGAAAAGAGATTTTTCGTAAAGATGTGTTCCACATTATGGGACTCTGAAAGCTGACACTTAGAGAATCATATATATTTCCAGCTGGAAGAGAGCTTGAACATCATCAGGTCAAAGCATCTGATTTGATGGATTAGAAACAGATTCAGAGAGGAGAAGTTACTTGCTGAAGACTCTAGAGAGCCAGTTTGTGGTTGTTAAGTGCCATAAACTCGGTTCCAACTCATATTGACCCTGTGCAGAGATTCCGACCACCACTCATCTGTCAGTTTGTCGTACTGTGGTGGCTTGTAAGTGTTGCTGTGATTCTGGAAGCTATGTCATGGGTATTTTAAATACCAAAAGGGTAACCCAGGGTGGACAGGTTTCAGCTGAGCTTCCAGACGAAGACAGACTAGGAAGGAAAGACTACTTTCAATATTTAGTCACTGAAAACCTTATGAATAGCAGAGAAACACTATCAGCACCAGATTATTGAATACAGAAACATGATGAAGAGCAACAGAACTTTGTCAGATAGATGACTGCCTGAGGTTGGAAGACACTCAAAATGCATCTGGGGAAGAGCTGCCTCCTCAAAAAGAGTTGACCATGATGACGCAAATGGAGTAAAGCCGTCAGGACCTTCATTTGCTCATGGGACACAACTCAAAATGAAGAGAAACACCTGTAAACATCCATTAATAATCAGAACATGGACCGTATGAAGTATGAATCTAGGAAAATTGAAAATTGCCAAAAACGAAATGGAACGCATGAACATCTGCATTCTAGACTGAAATGGACTGGTATTGGCCATTTTGAAACTGACAATCAAATGGTTTACTATGCTGGGAATGACAAATTGAAGAGGAATGGCGTAGCATTCATCATCAAAAAGAACATATCAAGATCAGTCATGAAGTACAACATTGTACATTGTCTGTGATAGGATAATATCCATACGCCTACAGGGAAGTTAGGAGTCCTGGTGTGGTGTCGTGGGTTAATGCACCAAATTGCAAAGCCATATGAACTGCAAGGTCGGCGGCTCAAACTCACCAGCTGCTCCTTGGAAACCCTATACAGGGTTGCTATGGGTCAAAATTGACTTGATGGCACTTCACAACAACAGGGAAGTTAATACCACGATTGTTCAAATTTACGCACCAACCACTAACGCCAATGATGATGAAATTGAAGGATTCTACCAACTTCTGAAATTGATCAAACATGCAATCAATTGTATTGATAATTACTGACAATTGGAATACAAAGGTTGGAAATAAAGAGGAAGGATCCATAGTTGGAAAATATAGCCTTGGTGATAGAAATAATGCTGGAGATTGCATGATAGAATTTTGCAAGACCAATGACTTGTTCATTGCAAATACCTTTTTTTTTCAAACAACGTAAAACATGACTATACATATGGACCTCACCAGATGGAATACACAGACATCAAATTGATTACATTTGTAGAAAGAGGACGTGAAAAAGCTCCGTATATCATCAGCCAAAACAAGGCCAGGGGCAGATTGTAGAACAGACCACCAATTGCTTATATGCAAATTCAGGCTGAAGCTGAAGAAAATTAAAACAAGTCCACAAAGGCCAAAATATGACGTTGAACATTATCCCACCTGAATTAAGAGATCATCTGAAGAACAAATTTGATGCATTAGACACTAAAGACTAAAGACCAGATGAGTTAGTTGTGGGATGACATCAAGAAAATTATACAGGAAGAAAGCAAAAGGTCAGTAAGAAGACAATAAAGAAGGAAAAAACAAAATGGATGTCAGAAGAGACTCTGAAACTTGCTCTCCAGCATAGAGATGCTAAAGCAAATGGAAGAAATGTGGTGGTACAAGAGCTGAACAAAAAATTTCAAAGGTCAGCTCGAGAAGACAAAGTCAACTATTATACTGGAGTTAGAAAACCAAAAGGGAAGAACACACTCAGCATTTCTCAAGCTGAAGGAACTGAAGAAAAAATTCAAACCTTGACTTGCAGTATTGAGGGATTCCATAGGCAAAATATTGAATGATGCAGAAAGCATCTTAAGGAGATGACAGGAGAACAAACAAGATGGCAGATACGGTAGAAGAGCAGTGAGGAGCTCTGTCAGCAACAACACAGAATACCAGACCAAGCAAGCTCAGGGGATGTAGAACTCTGAACCACATATAAAGGAATGTTTTGAAAGTTAGAAGGCTTACAGCCAGTGGAATTTGTAGCAAAAGCAAGAAATCCAGTGCTTTCTAATCAAAGGTGCTCAGCTGCTCCCTGAGTGGTCACCTTGGGCTTGATAATCAGAACTCGACTAGAGGAATATTAAAAAAAAAAAATTTTTTTTTTGATAAAGAAAACAAGGGTAAATTGTTACAACTGGATGAACCTGACCTATACTCATGGCAGTAGTAATTTTAAATACCAACAGAGAGGGAAGGAGTCTTCACATCAAGTATCATTGCTGTCCCCCTCTGTATACAGGGTAGATAGGGACGGGCAACTTAGACATTGGCTACCTAAAATGTGGGGGTGATAAAGGCATGAAGTGACTGGCTTACAAGGTTTTAAGAGGGAGTTTAGTTTAAGAGTGTGGGGAAAGAAAGAGTCCCCACTGAATAGTTTTCATGTTGTCTAGATGGGTCTGGTGAAGAGAGATAGGGATAAGATTTGTATGATTCAACAATAAATAATCGTTATCATGACTAATTGCGACTGTCACAATTGTAAAGGTAGAAGTTTTGTAATAAAAATGGAGGAGTAGTTAATCTTACAGTCCAGAAACAGAGGACTTAGGGCCATCAAGGGAGAAGAGCACAAGCAGAATGCGGGACCTTATCCAGAGAAGCAGCGACACCAGAGAAGGAAGCAGAGATGGGGACATGGAGAGAGGGAGCAGCTGAGGCCTCTAGATTCATGGGAAGAGAAGGACTAAGAGCCGATGGCCAGGAGGCAGACTTGCAGAATATGCCCTTTGGAGGTGTAAATTATTATATATGCCTGAGTGTTTTTTGTTTTGTTTTTAAAAAAGCTAAAGTGAATAGAGAGAAATACTGTTAACTGATGGTACATGGAGGGAATTATAATCATTGTAATGAAACAAGGTGTATAGTTTGTTGAATGTAAAACTGATGATGTGCCCTGTAAACTTTCACTCAATTCACAATAAAAACCTTAAAAAAAAAAAAAAAAAAAAAGAAGGCATTATAGAAGTCATAGTGCAAATCCCTCCTTTTACAGAGAGAAAAACAGAGGCCCAGGAAGGGGATGTCACAGATTAGCTAAGGTCACAGATTAGGTTGGTGGTAGAACTGAGGCTAGAAATCTTGGTCCCTTGACTCTCAACCCATTGTACTTTCTCCTGCTCCCAGCTGATCCCTCTGCCCTCAGTGCCTGGCTCTCTTACTTCGCCTCTCTTCCCCTCAGGACATTGGTGCCAGCACTCATCTGAGAGCCTGCTGGGCCCCGTGCTTACCTGTAGAAGCTGCAGAAGATGGAGAAGATCCCTAGGATCATGTTGACCAGGGACAAAGCATTGGCAATATCCTTGCAGGAAGATTCATCCAGCTTGGGGTGACTCTGGTCCTGGGCCAAGAAGAAATTGATGCATTGACTCAGACCTGGGGCTCAGGGTAGAGGGGTAAGGTTCCCAAGGTCGAGCCCAAAAAGAGACTCCCAGTGATGTGGTAGCTCCTGTTCTTCTAAATCTCACCACTGAGCGACACCCTCCCAACACTGTGTTTCACTGGCTGGACGGAAGAGCCCCAGATCCAAGAAGTGAAAGCAGAACTGCTGGAGACAGTGTCCTGGGAAAGCACCACAGCAAAGTAGGTAAAGTAACACAACCACAGTCTCCACTCCCTCTCTGCCTGTCCCCCTTGTTCCATGGCACAGGCCACATATTGACCCTTCTGACACCCCATAGTTTAGGTACAATGGGTAACTGGTTCTAGGTTCTTCCCCCATCTGAGAGATGGGCCATTTGTCACAGAGTAAAGGTTGGCTTGAGTGAGAAGTAGCGTCAGGAAGCCACTTGTCCTACAGCCCAAGCTTACTCCGAGGACGGGGTTGTGACTGTAGTACCCCAGGGTCCTGGCTTTGACAGGCCCCAACCAGAACAGCAGGCAGAGCCCTGTTAGTGTTCAAAATGAACATGCACACCATTAGAGTTCACAAAGCGCTTTCTGTAATCTGTTCTCTCTTCTGATCCTGATGACCTTGAGGGGTGGTGCTAGAACTTTCCCTACTTTATGAATGAGGAAACTGAGGTTCAGATAAACAGAGAGATGTGTGCAAAGTCACATAGAGTGAGAAGGACTAAACCCAGTCTGATAACTCTAAATATGGTGTTTCTGTTGTTGACACCTCCAGGAGGGCATTTGTGGGCAAGAGGGAGGAGGAACTTGGTTGGAGAAAGCAGCTATTGTTTCCGAGTTGGGTCAGCCCTGCCGGGCACCACAGCATTTCCCAGCCCTAGGCACAGCTGCCTCTCCTCCCAACATCAGGGAACCAGCTGGTCCTTCCTGCCCATTCTCACAGCCTGTCTAGTCTGTTCTGGTCTAAGACTAACCATGCTTATTCCCTGCATATATTCATAAACTGCTTGGGGAACTGAGTCTCTTTTAGGGAAAAATACCCTGCTATTCCCTAACCCTAACCCCCAACGAGATGGATCAGCCGGGTGACATCATTGATGACATCAAGTGTGGCGGGGGTAGTGAGGTTGGCCCAGGATCGGACATTGTTTAGTTCTGCTGTGCATGGGGTCGCTATGAGTCGGTTCCGACTCGATGGCACCTGACAACAACAACAACAATTTCTGAAACAGAGAAGACCCGCTGGTTGGGGTAATTATACCAACTACAAACAGTAATTCTGCATTTGTATTAAATACATAAATTCCAACATGCTTTCTCATTTAATCCTCACCCATTTTAGAGGTGAGAAAGCTGAGGCTCTGCCTCTATGCAGCCTCTCTGTATAGTCCCATGCATGCCCTTTTCTAAGGCAGCAAGAGTTGAGACAAATGATGTTCCTTTCTTGCAAACCCTACCACCAATATGTCAGAAACTGGGAGGGATTGGACTTGGATTTGGGATGGGGAGCCCCAGGCCTTGCTGTGGGACTCACTGGTCCCATAGGCACGCTCATTTTACATTGCCAAAACCTTGGGACTCCTGGGACCTTCTTATGCCAGGACCCCTCAAAACTTACTACCAGAAGCACTGTGAACCAGAGATTTCTGGGAGGAGCTGGAGAGAAAGGTCTGGCCATACCCAGCCTCCCCATCAGTACTATGGTGGCTTCTCCTGAGCAACTCAGTTTCACGGCTGATCTCAGCAAGGCCAAACACCTGCTCAAGTGCCCATCAATCAATCAGCAGCTCCTCACTGCGAACCCAGCCTATCCTGCTGCCTGGCAGAGCAGCATCCTACACCTCTGGCTCTCAGAGCAGACATAGCCTCATCTGTGCTACTAACTTTAGTGTTGTTGTTTTAATTAATCATCTATTGTTGTTGAGGTTAAGTGTCAACAAGTTGGTCCCGACTCTTAGTAACCCTGTATAGGGTTACCAAGGAGTAACTGGTGGGTTTGAACTGCTGGCCTTGCACTTAGCAGTCCAGTACTTACCCTACAGAGCCATGCAAGGACTCCAATGATCTACTATTATAATCAAAATAACAACTGTCTACTATTAGCTCTTTTACTGTCTCCTTCATTCACAAAGTACATTCATATCTATGTACTTTGTCACCTACTGCCACTAACTAATAGCATATCTATGTAGGATTTCCAAGCCTGCAAATATTTATAGGATCAGAAATAGGAGTGGTGGTGACGGTGGTTATGTGCCGTGGAGTCAGTTCCGACTCATAGCAACCCTGTACAGAACATCTCATCTTTCTCCCACAGAACCACTGGTAGCTTCAAACTGCTGACCCTGAGTTTAGTAGCCTGACTTGTAACCTCTATGCTACCAGAGCTCCTTAGAAAGAGGAGTAGCTGGTGAACTCAAACCTTGCAGTTAGCAGCCAACGTGTAACACACTGACACTAGGGTTAAGGTGGTGAGGTAAGTAAGGGTTAGTATCCCTTACTGTCAGGTAAGTTTTTATAAAAAGACTTAAAGAAAAAAAGACTCCTGCTCAAGTCACAGTCACACCGGAAGTGGCAAACAAGCTTCCGGCTTACCCTGAACTGCTCTTTCCTCTGTGCTCTGCTGTCTACCAGCCAACAGGACTGAAGCCTGTCTTGATTAGATGCTCAGCCTGAGTCAGGTGCTGGGAGAATGCTTGGGTCCTGACTTCATGGCACTTAGAGTCCATTTAGGGAAACAAGATGCACGCATGCACATCCAGTCCTACAGACTTTGTTCATGATGGCACCTTATCTTACAAATGGGGAAACTGGGGTTTCAAGATCGTTAAGTGACTTGCCCCAGTAAATGCTAGAGTCAGAATTTGAACTGGACCTCCTCTTTCCCAATTAAATGCTATTTGCAGCATAATGCACAACTTCCAAGTACAAAAGGATATAGGCCTAAGACTAAGGATTGTAGAAATTCTGAAGAAAGAAAAAAGAACAAGCCATTCATTCAGCCATTCAGCCAGCATATGATCAGGAGCAAGGCTCAGTGAACTGGTGCTGGGACACAGAGAAGACCTGGTCTCATCTCTGAAGGAGCTCAGTCTTGCAGGGGTATCTGACTCTGCACAGCAAAGAAGAAGTAACCAGAATACTAGGGGAGCATAGAAGGGCCCGGGCTGGCAGGGATTAGAGAAGGCTTCTCAGAGGAGGGGGCAGAGCTGAGGCAAGAGCAGATCATGCCCCTCCCCAGCTTTCTGCAAGCCTTCAGTGATTCCCAATGCCCTCAGATGGAGTCCAACCCCTTCAATTGGCATATTAACCCCTCTATATATTTGTTCTAAGGAGCTCTGGTAGCGTAGTAGCGGTTACAAATTGGGCTGTGAACCGCAAGGTCAGTAGTTTGAAACTACCAGCTGTTCCACGGGAGAAAGATGAGGCTTACTGCTCCCATAAAGATTTACAGCCTCGGAAACCCTGTGCAGGGTCGCTATGCATTGGAACCGACTCAACGGCACTTACCAACAACAACATTTGCTCTGGAGTTCCCATCCCTCCTCAGCAAACTTCCCCCTTCAAAGTCAGGTTAGGAGGTGTTCCTTAGACATTCCCCCAGAGCCTGCCAAGTGCTCCTCCTCTGAGATGCTCACTCTGTGACACATGACACTCTTAACTGTCATCACCTACCTTGTGTTCCTCCCCTACTACAGGATAAGTAACTTGAGTGCAGACTGAGGTCCCCCGTGCCCAGCATGATCCCTGACAACAGAAGTTGGTCAGTGTTGAATTAATAGAGTACTTTTCCCCAGGTCCTCACACTGCACCAAATCGCGAATCTACCCTGTTCAATTTCTCCTCCAAGCAGCCATCTCTAAGGGACATTCAACAACCAAACCCTTCAACACACTCACAAACTACCCAACTGTTAGGATCATTTTCTCTAATATTTTGCTCGTTACAAAGTAATTCGCTGATATCTGCTCTGTGCCAGGTCTTGTGTGCCCTAGGAACATAGAGAAGAACAAGATCCAAGTTCCACCTTCGAGGATCTGTCTGGCTGGGGAAGCGGACAAGACAGGCAATTCCAACGTCACGTGACAAGTGTGATGTTGGACAGGGAATGTGCGATGCAGTGGTACACAGGGGAAGAATAAATTAGTCTGGGGTGTGGGGTACGGGAGGATTTCACGTACTGTGACACAGAGTGTGTGGCGACTGGAGGTGAGGCTGGGATGGAAGCCAGGGTAGAGAAGTGCGCCTTGTGTGACCAGCACACACTGACCTTTGGCTTACAGTAGTCAGTGAGGAGGCAATGGTGTTTTGATAAGGCAGAGGTTAGTCCAAGTCATTGGAGTGAAGGGTGGTTTGGAAGGGAAGCAACTGGAGAAACGGAAACTAATAAGTACATGAGGGAAATAGGAGCAATAAGGAACAGCAGGACTCTGGGTAGGGCAGGGAAGAGTTAATATGAATGAACTGGAAAAGGGCGCAGCTTTCCAGCAGGCGGCAATCAACGTGGCCAAGACAGCGGCACCGGTGCCGCCGCCGCCACAGAGACGCCTTCCCTGTTCCCACCTACCCCACCCCATCCCACCCCACCGCCTTCTCTAGAAGCCAGCCTCTTCCAGGACCCTGCTCCAGAGTCAGAGACACCCGGGCTCCCTCTCCTGGCTGCCCCGCGGTCTGCCCAGGCCCCACTAGTCTCCAGGGCCTCCCAGGGAACAACGCGGCTGTTTTGGGTATCTCCTTTCTCTGATAGCACCCTGGGGAGTGACACCTCTCTTCCCTTCCTCCCCCGGACTACTTACCCGGAGACAAGACATTGCTAGATGGAGGGTAGGGGGACCTGCACTCCTTTCCCATGTCCTGTGCGAAGGAGGGGCCCAGCCTAGGCCAGGGGATCCCACACTGGCTCTCAGCCTCATGCCCCCAACTCTTAGCTCACAATCCCCAAGGCGGGGGAGGGGCTGCGGGTCTTTCATCTTGGGAAGACGGGCCTCAATTTCCAGTGAAGGGTGGAACTCAGAGGAAGAGCCTACTCTCTCCAGATCAGTGAGTCTTCACAAATGAAGAGATCTGACATGACTTCCTGTGTGCAAAGTATCTGGTTTCGGACTGCATGGTGTGTCAGAGCGAGGAGGGAAAGATGGGGCAGTAAAGGCATATGGCGTCTCAGACTGTGAAGGGCCCCAAGAATGGAAGCATCATATAGACAGGAGCTTGGTTCACTGCTAGATCACTGTGCTTCAGTAACACCTGTTAAGTGCCTCCTAGTCAGTTCCAACTCATAGCAACTCTAAGGTTTCTAAGGAGTGAATGATGGATTTGAACTCCTGACCTTGTGGATAGCAGTCCAGTGCTTATCCTAAGGCACCACACCAGGACTCCATATAAGAATGCCTGTTCCGACTCTTGGAAACCATATACATAGTTTCCAAGGAGCAGCAGGCAAGTTTGAACCACGGACCTTGTGGTTCAAACCAACTTTGTAGTCCAGTGCTTTATCCTACAGCACCACACTGGGACTCCTAAAAGAACCCCTAGGTAT